TAGGAAGCTAGATTCAACCCCCTGAAACCTGACCCCTTGCCTCATTTGAATGGCTTCTCCTTAATAAAGGGGTTCAGCACGTGCTCTCTCCCTCTCTTTCTGTGGACCCTTAAGGTCAGAGGAGCCATCACAGGACCTAAAGAAAAAGGTATCTCTGTCTTGTGTGATTATTTAGTGCAGCCCAGTTCACTTGGAATGACCCTGAGTGTTTTAGTCATGAAAAATGTGACAGTAAAGGTGGGTCTTCATCCCTTCATCAAGGAAGAGGGCACTAATCCTGGCTAAGTGGGTAAGAGCCCACGTGCCTCCAGAACATGCTTACAGCTGAGACTAGTGCCATGGGCCAGTTTCACTCCTCTCTCCTTTGTAACCCTGCCCATTCTGCCCTTTTTAGGATAGAACTTTCTAAAGAACAAGAGTCCTCCCAATAAAAGCCGACTTCCAAACATGCTCTCTCTCTTACCAGTCTCATGACTTTCTCTTTTGGGGATCCTGAGGCAGAGAGCGAAGGAGCCATCCTGAAGCTTTTGTAAAGGTAATTTGTGTCTGTTTTATTTGTTGTTCCTGCAAATTCACATGAGCAATCTTAAGTTCAGCTGCCCGCGCAGGCCGGCAGGGGGGTGGGGGGAGCGGCACCGACCTGGAGTGCACACTCCAGGATTGGAGCCTGAGCTCCCACCAGGGTCAGCTCTCAGACAAATGATTAGGAGGCTCTTTGGGCCCCTGAAGGACTTGCTGGGTAGAGAAGAGCTGAGTGGAAGGCACATGCTGGAAGGACAAGAAGCTTGCCTGAGGTCCAGCCCTGAGCATGCCTGCTGTCCCAGCTCCCATGCAGTGGTGAGGCAGGCACCTGGGAGCCGTGAGGATGGGGCAGAGGACAGCACACAGCGTGAGCACAGCCCTAGCCAGTGGCTTCTCTTCTGGTCCATCTCACCACCCTGACAGGCCCCTGGGTGCTGAACTCACTTCTTATGCGCTGGAACCTACCCTTCTACCACTGCTCAAGCCAAGTGCACTGGGCAGTTAGATGAGGGAACAGCTGTGATCCCAATCCTGGGGAACCTGGGCAAGGTTGGCAGAAGCACTGGAAGCACACATTGAGACCTTGCATGCATCTTGGTGCATTCTCTTGGGCCACGAGGGACCTAGAGGCAAGTAAAGCACCAACTCAGAGTGGCTCACAGAAAAAGCTGCAAGTTGGGGGTGAGTTGGGAAGGAGAGCAGTTGTGGCTGGTTCCTGGGTGACAGGAGAGGGCCTGGTGCCTAGGGCACTCCGGGTAGCCTCAACCCACTTACCCTTATCTTCAAAACACCCAGGATGTTTCTTCCACTCTCCCAGAGGTGCATAATGTGTGCATTCCAGAGGCCTGAGGAGGAAGCTCAGATGCCCTCACAGCCAGGGCCCCCAGGCTCAGGACTAAGCTGTCTGCCCAGAACAGGCCAGGCTGAGTACCAGTGTGTGTAGACCGACATGGGATGGGAGACTGCTGGGCCTCTTCCTTCTGCCTCCCACACACTTTCCATGCTGCTCTTCACCAGGTTTCCTGTAAAAGAGCCAAGGAGTCCCAAAGTGTGTCCTGCTCTAGATAGACCTCATTCTGCTCTGAGAAAGCATCTCTTCACCTTTCATTTCCTAATAAAGCTCTTCCTCTGCTAAAACCTAATACATTTTCTTGAGCCTGGAAGATCCAAGCAGGGGTCTCCTTGGCCTTTGGAGGGACTTCCTTGAGCCCCCTGATGGTGACACCCTGGCTGTCTGGCAGAGGCCTTGAAGCTGAGTCCCTTCCATGGATACCTCCTGAGGTAGGGGATGGAGACTGGGCCAGGCCTCAAAGTGCTGTTTGAAATGGTTTTGCATACCTTCAATTTCTTTCTTCCTTTTTTTTTTTTTTAAATTCTTCAGCTAAAACAGCAGAAGGGATGATTTATTTTACACAATTGAGAAACGAGTTAGTCCAGAATGCCCAAGTTCCCAGGCAAAGAACCAGTGGGGGATGCTATGAGCAAGGTGGGTCTTCTCTCAGTGGTAGTCTTGGTGACAGGATGGCAATGTAGGTTCTACATCCACCAAGACAGAATCTGGGGAGTATCAGGCAGTCAACAACTCATACAAACATCCTGGCCTCTGGCAGTCCTTATTTTTGCTCCTTTGGCCTCCATGGTGTACAAGCTATTTTACTTAGACCTCTGCTTCATCTTTCTGCTTTTGCTTTTCGGCCTGTGCATTTGCTTCTTCCTCCACTTAGCTCTCATGATGCAGAGGTTTCCAAGATGATGGTGCTAAGGCCAAGAGTGGGTACCTTAAATTTCTTTCAGCAAACCTTACTGAGATGGGCTCTAACAGTGGCAAAGGCCAGATGGCCTTCCTCTCTCCTGTGAGGGCCTGGGTGAATTAATTACTCGCTCTGGTATCAGTAATAGGGTTACTGACTACTTTGAGGATAACTGTGAAATTAAAGATCTGTCGAGATATAGAACATACAACACTGAACATGGGGCGCATGTTAGCTGCTGTCATTGTTAAAGGCACCTGTTTCCCCACCTCCATGTGGAGTCTCTTGGTGCAGGAAATGGCATCTGCATCCTTCCAGTGGCTTAGGCCCAGTACTCCTGGAGTGGCCTTTCCCAGCCAGGGTGTCACCATCAGGGGGCTCAAGGAAGTCCCTCCAAAGGCCAAGGAGACCCCTGCTTGGATCTTCCAGGCTCAAGAAAATGTATTAGGTTTTAGCAGAGGAAGAGCTTTTTAGGAAATGAAAGGTGAAGAGATACTTTCTCAGAGCAGAATGCGGTCTATCTAGAGCAGGACACACTTTTGGGCTCTTTGGCTCTTTTACAGGAAACCTGGTGAAGAGTAGCATGGAAAGTGTGTGGGAGGCAGAAGGAAGAGGCCCAGCAGTCTCCCATCTCATGTCGGTCTACACACACTGGTACTCAGCCTGGCCTGTTCTGGGCAGACAGCTTAGTTCTGAGCCCGGTGATCTGCACCTGAAGTGACAGTTGGTCCCTGCTTATGGAAGAAAACAAAGCCAGATGCTGAAGATAGTAGAAACAGGTTTACTCAGAGACCACTGCAACAGAGGAAAGAGAGGTCTGTGCAGAACTGGCCTCGACTAAGACCCTTGCAGAAAAGGCTAGGAGAGTAGGGAACAGAAAGGCCAAGCAGCCAGGAAGGTGGAAAACCGCAGAAGAGACAAAACAAAATCAATAAAGACAACAAACCGTCCGAGTTGCTTAACTGATGCTCATCGAGCCTTCAGCAGGGTGGCAGGCAGTAAGGCCCACCTTCTCATGGGACTGGAAGCAGTCTCCCTGTGTGTTCCATGTCAGAGTAGCCCTAGGCCCTGGGAGGTAGAAAGCTGCACAAAGCAAGCTCACTGAGCCCTCATTGCCAATTCTTCTGAGTCCTGAGACGAAACACAGTCATATCAACATGTTCTGTGAGGCAGAGTCACCATCTAGACAGGCAGCTAGCGACACTAAGCTGGAGCCCAATAGCTGCCCTGGGCAGATGCAGTCAAGATTACACATGCTCCACTGATAGGCAGTCTATCTGGGTTACATCCCTCAGGGACAAGGACAGTCCCTGGGCAAAGCTCTGAAGCACACTGCTGTCAAGGAAGAGGTCACTAACCCTGGCCTAAGTGGGTAAGAGCCCACATGCCTCCAGAACATGCTTATAGTTGAGACTAATGCCATGGGCCAGAACGTATGCCAGTACTGCAGTGGGTCTCATGTACTTTGGGGAAGCCTGTGCGTTGTGGTCTCAGTTGCTCTGAGACAAATTCAAAACATGCCCAACCTGACAGATTCACCAGAGTGGTTGGTGGAGCAGCAGGTTCTTGTGAAGTCAGTTTCAGTCACTGTCACAATCATGAGCTGTGGACAGCCCAAGCCTTCCTATGGTGTCTTGTGTGATCCAGGAGTGACAGGCCAATGTGCTTTACCCAGACCACCTCTCAAGGTTGTGTTGGCAGGAAAAATCCTGAATTAAAACCCCAGCTCCTTGGGGCTGGGTCTACAGCTCAGCAGTAGAGCGCTCATCTCACACATTCAAAACACTGAGTTCAATCCTCAGCACCACATAAAGATAAATAAAGGTATTAAAAAACAAAAACAAAAACAAAACCCAGCTCCCACCAGAGCAGGCTCTTACCACTCACCATGAAGGTGGCTACTCCCCCTTTGTTTCTCAGCTGGCATGCCCACCATGTGTACCCACCACCCACCCACCCACCCAGGTGGCATTCAGAGAAGCTGAGAAGCCCTGGCCACTACTGTAACCCGCTTTCCATCTCCAGATCTATTGAGAAGCAGTGGGCTCTCCATGGCTTCCAGAAAGGGCACATTCTTTGGCTCTCTCAGTCCTTGCAGTTTTTGGTTCAGGCTGAGAAGTTTCAAGAAAATGTGCCACGCAGCACAAATGCATCTTGACCTCTCCAGGTGTGTCCCCTGCAAAGTGGGGCACTGGACCAAACAAGATGGTTCTCCAACCCAGGGCCCTGTGTCTACCCACTGTCACAAGTGCTTATCCTCTGCCAGGGACAAAAAGATGGGTTCCTTACATCAACAGTACACATTTTCAGGTAAGCAAAAAGCTCCAAGTTTCAGGGAGGCAGAAAGATCCTGGGTCACACAGCAAGCTCCTGGACAACAGGTGTGACTTTTGAGACCCTTGCTCCATGAATGCCAGCTGCAACCACACTGAGGGACAGACTCGGGACCCAGCCTACCTCTTAAGGGGATAGGGCTAGCCCTGGGTGGCTCTACCCAGGGATGACTTTTAAGAGAAGATGTCAGGCAAAGTAGTCAGAAGTGAATTCTAGGAATGCCACTTCTGGATGTCTTCTAACAGTGCAAACATGTCCTCATTGTTGAAGCCCCTTTGAGGTGACTTCCTTAACCTGCTATGTGGCAGGGCTCATATGGTCCCCCTCATGCCTGCTCCTCTAAGTGGGCCCTTGGCCCTGCCCTCTATAAACTCAAAACTACAGACACCACCCTGAGTGTGAGGGGTACAGGCTTTATTTAATGGGTAAATAAACATTTTGCATGAAGCAGGACATTCTTAACAGCAATTCTGAATCCATCCCAACACTCTACTTTCCTGCCAGTATAAACGACCTCATGTAACATAAGCAAGTTAAGGCTGCAGGTTTACTCACGTCTATTCATTCCTACAGATGGAAGGTCTATCACATGTGTGTTTTCTGATGTTGTGTAAGCCTTGAGCTACGGTTAAAAGCTTTGCCACAGTCGTTGCACTTGTAAGGCTTCTCTCCGGTATGAATCCTCTGGTGTATGATCAGATGTGAGCGCCACCTGAATATCTTCTCACAGTCACCACACTGGTGCAGTTTCTTTATGGTGTTAACCTTTTTACGGCTCACAAAGGTGGAACCTTCCAGGGTGTTCCCATATTCATAGTACCATTGGGCTCTAGTGTGTATTCTCTGGTGTTCGATAAGATAAGAGCTCCGACTGAAGGCCTTTCCACATTCGCTACACTCGTAGGGCTTCACTCCTGCATGAATTATCTGGTGTTGGAAGAGGGTTGAGTTCTGACTGAAGGCTTTCCCACATTCAGTGCACTTGTAGGGCCTCTCCCCAGTGTGCACCCTCTGGTGGATGGTGAGCTGCGTGCTCATACTGAAGGCCTTCCCACACTGGAGGCACTCATAGGGCTTCTCTCCCTTGTGGATCCTCTGATGGTAGATGAGGCTGGAGCTCTGGCTGAATGCTTTCCCACAGTCGTGGCACACATAGGGCTTCTCTCCAGTGTGGATCCGCTGATGCTGGATGAGGTGTGAGCCCTGAACAAAGCCTTTCCCACACTCGTCACATTTGAATGGCTTTTCTCCAGTGTGAGTTCTCTGGTGGCGAATGAGTCGTGAGCTACACCCGAAGGCTTTTGTGCACTTATTGCATTTATAAGGCTTCTCTCCAGTGTGAATCAGCTGGTGCTGGCTCAGGCGAGAGATCCACCGGAAAGCCTTCCCGCACTCGTTGCACTTAAAGGGCTTTTCCACAGTGTGACTTGTCTGATGCACAACAAGGCTTGGGCTCTCTGAGGCTCTGAGCATCTGAGATCTCTCCCCGGCGTGCATCCTCTGGTGCTGAGCAAGAGTTGAGCTCTGGCTGAAGGCCTTGCCACACTCCTTGCACAGGTAGGGTCTCTCTCCGGTGTGAGTTCTCTGGTGTCTGACTAGTTGAGACTGCTGGCTGAAAGCCTTCCCACACTCCCGGCAGCCATAGGGCCTCTCTCCTGTGTGGATCCTCTGATGATGGATGAGGCTGGAGCTCTGACCAAACGCTTTCCCACATTCCTCACACCTGTATGGTTTCTCTCCAGTATGAATTCTCTGATGCTGAATAAGTTTTGAGCTCAGGCGGAAGGCTTTTCCACATTCCACACACTTGAATGGTTTCTCCCCAGTGTGGATTCTCTGGTGTTGATTAAGCTGTGAACACAGCCTGAAGACTTTTCCACACTCCTCACACTCATATGGCTTCTCGCCACAGCAGTTACTTGAAAGTTTCCCCTGAAAGCAGCCAGACAATTGTTTTTGGCATTCTTGACAGCAGTTAGGCTTCTCTTGTACACTAATTTCCTGGTATGGAGCCAGATCTGGAGTGTGTCCAAAGTCTCTGCCGCACACCTGGCATTGCTGTGACATCCCTTGAGCACCAGCTCTCTGACCTTTACCAGGCTGACAGCTGAGGCCACTGGCCCCCAGCTCCTTGGATTCCTGTGTAGTGTCCTTGGTGAAGGTTTTGGGAGCCAGGGTCCCCTGAATCAAACACTGTTTCTGGAGAAGGGAGCCCCTTTCTCTCAGCACAGGGCTGCTTGGAAGTCTCTCTGACCAGACCTCAGAATTGGAAGTGTCTGCAGAGCCAGGACCCTGAGGCTTCAGAAGGTCCATGTCCCCCTGCTCATGTGCAAGCCTAACAGTAGAATCTGAAATAAACAGGAAATGAAAATACTCTATATGTACTGAGCTCACAGAAAGGACAAAGACTGAAGTGGTGGGGAAGGCCAGCCCTTCCTAGGATGGGCTGCATGGAGCACTGCTACACACCCCAAGGGGAGATGTATGCGAGAAGATGTACTTGGAGAGGCCTCATACTTGGCTTCATTGATGCTTTTTGGTCCACAGTGGTGAAGTGCTCCTCTCTGCTAGGCAGAATGCTGGGAGTTGCATGACCTAAGAGGAGTTTGTGAGAAGAGGTACATCCCAGGGGCACTGTGAAGAATGCAAAACGGGACTGGACAAAGCCAACCTGAAGGTGGAAAGTTTGCCAACAAGGATTCTCAGACGGAGTCGGAGGCCCCCAGCATCCCTGCTGGTAAATGGGAAGGTAGAAAAGGGTCTGACCTATGAATAAGGGAATGGGCAGGAATGGGAGACTGAGGCTCTAGAGCTGCAGGGGGGTTACCCAGGGAGCTCAGAAGAGGGCAGAGTGCCTGGGCTGCCCATGGCTACTCTCTGCTCCCTCCAGCTGCCACTTATTTGCACCTGACACTCCTTGCTAGGCTGGAAGCTGAGTGGTCACACCCAGCAGACCACACTGACTTCCCTTTCCCTGTGACAGGTTTCTGGAGGGTCCAACCCATCAGTCGCCCAGGAAGCCTTCCTGACATCTGCTTTCCTCCTGGACTTTCCTTCAGACTCCTGTCCTACTCCAAAATCCCAGAGAGCACCTCTGTTGAAACCACACTTCTCCATGATCATAATCACACAGTCACAGTCACAGTTACAATCAGCCTGGTTCCACCCACGGCAAATTCACAACCCAGTCAGGGCTTCAGCCTCACAGCTCTGTTCACTCCTAACCATTAGTGGCTGGGTTTCCAACTTCCAGTGATTTCCATGTCTTCCAGAAAGGGGTCCCACCTACCTAACTCTTCTGCATGATGGGAACAGATCCCAGTGGTTCCTAATTGGTCTTCCACAACCCAGTGAGGTTGGCAGAAGCCTCACTCACGGGAGGCAGACTGGCTCAGAGCTGAGCAGCTTGCACAAGGCCATGATGATGAGGACAGCATTTGGAGCCTTGAGGAAGCCTTCTCCCACCCCAGCCTCACAGAAAAGCTGCTCCCTGGGCAGGGCTTGCTCATCCCTCCTCCAAAGCCTTCCTCTGCCTGGAGGTGAGAAAGCAGGACACTAAGACTCCCAGCAAGTACTGCTCCTGCTCTTCCCCCTGCCAGAAACTCAAGAGGACCAAAGGAGAGTGAGATGCATCCCTGGTAGGGTTAAGGCCTGGTGGAAATGCCCAGGTCTTGGGCTACCCAGAACCAAGCAGCTCACAGTCACTTGCAACCACCGACCAAAGGACCAGGACATCATAGACAACCTGGCTATGCTCATATTTTCCACGCTCTGGGTCCCTGTGTATACATCCATAAGAGGCTTGGTGTACATTTCCCAGTTCTGCCCTGACCCTGCACAACACCAGGCCATGGTCCCACCTTGTCCTGCTGCCCAGCCTCCTGAAGCCTCCTCTCTCGGCAGCCTCTGACCTCCTTGCCTGGCCCATTTCTCTCTGACTCTATTTAACACTGACAGCTCCTGCATAGTACCCCTGTAACTGAAGCTCAAGGTCCTCTCCCCTTCCCTGGAACATGAAGGTCCTTCTCCAGCAAACTCTGGGCAATCCCTGGGAAAAGGCAAGCACTATGAAAAAGCAAAGCCTCTTTGGAAGAGGGAACACATGTCCTCCCAGAGCAAAGGCACAGCAGTGCCTGACTTATGACTCTCGTCACTATCTGGGAACAAGGAGCTAGGAGTCACACATCAGGGGGCTCTGGTGGTAGGCAAGGGCATGGGGAGGGACTGCTGCAGATCCGCCCTCTGTTCCCTCTAGTCCCCTTCAATATCTGATGCCAGCTGTGACCAGTCGGGGACAAAGAACTTGCCTGAGCATTTCCTTTACTCCATGCCTCTGGTTGTGTGCTCCTGTATACCGTACTCTAGGGCCCACAATCTTGTCCTGAGACCACTATGGGTTACCCTGTGTTTGCTTCATCCCCTTATGGGTACAACTTGCTGCACATAAACCTATCAAGCTGTCGTACTCTACCCACTGCAGCTGGCTTTTCTGCCACATTGTGCTCTCCACAACCTTCCTCCACCATGCAGGCACCTTACTCGGAGGCTTGGTTTTAACTGGCCACCCTCCAGCTTTGTCTCCTCCCCGGGGAGGATCAGAAGGAACCTTTGCAGGAGGGGCAGAGGGGAACATGGAAATAGGTTGCTGCACCCATAGTAATTTAACATGAGGATGTCAGGCGGCCCCTAATCCAATTAAGAATGGTGTTCTTATAAGGAACTGGCTACATAGGACAGACAAACAATAAGAAGGCTGCCAAGTGAAGGAGGCAGGGTCTGGAATGGCACATCTACAAGCCAAGGAACACCAACAACTGCATGAAGTCCCCAATCCTGGAAAAGGTAACAAGGGCCAAGCCCTGCAGACTTCTGGGCTCCACAGTGAGACATTTGTTGTTGATTTGTGTTACTTTGCTGCAGCAGCTGCAGGAGGCCAGTGCACCAGGGTCTGATCTGAGGGCTTGGTTCCCCAGGCCCCAAGAAGTTCCAGAGACAGCAGCAGGGGCAATTTGTTTGAGTAGAGGAAGTGGAAAGCAAAGTTTAATGCTTCCTCAGATCCACAGATTTGTGCCTTTCTCGATAGGTATATTAGTAAAATTAGAAACTGAACAAAATGTGTACAATTTCAAAAAACAAACTTTTTACTGAATGCACAGGTGTTTTGTGTTATTGCCATTACAGGGAAGTCCCAGACCTGTTGTGCTTCCTTCCACCCCTGTCCTTGCCTATGCCACCCCCAGCAGCCCAGTCAAGCCCTTGGGATTCACCCCAACCTCCCACTTCTCTAGTTCCCACTTTTGGGAAGGCTACTCCTTCCCAAAGGCTCTCTGCTACAGGACCTATACCTCACCTGTCTGGGAGGTCCATGGTGCTTCTGTCCCCTCAACTCCCTGCAGGTCGATAACCCATGGCTCTTGTCCCTGTTCCAACCGAGAGATCAGCTCAGGTTTGAAGACCAGGAATCCTGCTGTGTGTGGTCAGAGAAGGAGATGCTAGGAGCATGGCTAGTGCTTGACATCCCCCCAAAATAAGAAGGGCGAGTTGCCCTCCAAATATTAGCACATACTAGCCAGAAGCGATGATGCACCTTCAGCCCCAGTCACTTGGGAGGCTGAAGTGTTTCAAAAACCAAAGCAACGAAACAGAAACAAACCAAGCAGGAAGCTGGCCCACAGACTCTCAGAAAAGAATAGCGCAGAAATACACTACTTCATATTTTAAGACCATCAACAGGAAAAGGAGGTTGTCAGCAAATCATGTTGGGGAAATGTTTCAATGCTCAGACAAAAATAAAACAGGATTTTTCCTTAACTCCAACACAATGGTGAAGCCTTGATATTAATAAGGAAGATAAGCTGTAAAATTCACAGGAGAAAATGTAGGCCATTTCAAAAAGCTTGAAGTAGGGAATAACTAATAAAACCTCAAAGGCATAAGCTATAAGACAAAACCCAAAGTACATTATGTGAAAATGTGACAAGGCTGGGAATGCAGCTCAGTGGCAGAATGCTCACCTAGCAGGCATGAAGCCCTGGCAGGCTCAATCCCCAGTACTGAAAAAAACAAAAAACAAAAAACTAACCAGCGTTACCAAACATGAGAGAAGGGTAAAGGTACAATGTGAATCGGTGTGGTGTTCACCCTTGATATACTGTAAGACAGACTTTGTATAAAATGCTTTCACACCTCTAAGCCTCAGGGACATCTTAGAATTGAAATCAGAAGTCTTCCAGCAACTGGTAATAGATGTGACATGCCACTGCTGCCCACACAAGCTGCATTATCTGCTCTGTACACTGTCTTAAAAAAATTTATTCTGGCCAGTCATAGTGGCACATGGCTGCAATCCCATCGACTCAGGAGGCTGAGGCAGACAGATCACAAGTTTGAGGCCAACCTCAGAAACTTAGGTGAAGCCCTCAGCAACTTAGTGAGATTCTGTCTCAAAAAATAAAAAGGGCTGGGGATATAGCTCAGCTGTAAAGTGCCATGCATTCAATCTCCAGTACCAAAAAAGAAAAACAAACATTAATTTAGTAGCTTAAGAAAAAAGAGGCTTTATTAACTCTCAGAATTTCACCTACCCAGTGAGGGCCGAGTCACCTGATATGTGCAAAGTCTGGAACCAGCCTAGCACAGGTTTGAGGCCCCTATTTGGCCCAAGACAGTCTGAGCACTCAGCCTCCCCCACATCTGATGCAGGCCTGGCTGGCTGTGTGGGTGCTGACTGACTGTGCAAGGGAGGGGGACCAAGGTGCCACCTCACCTAGTCCGGCCACACTGCTGTGGTTCTCCAGCATCACCTCCCTGTAGAGGGCCTTCTGGCCAGAGTCCAAACACTGCCACTCCTCCCGGGAGAAGTGCACAGCCACGTCACCAAATGTCACCGCCTCCTGAAAGGACAAATACCAGCACCCCAGGGATCCCTGGGTGCCAGCCCCATTCTTGCACGGCATCACAGCATATCTCAGGCAGGTGTACCAAGGGGTTGGGCAAGAGTTGCCCAGCTCCTTCCTCCAAAATCCGAGGAAAGGGAAGTTTAAGAGGAGAGGAGGGACCTGGCTCTTGGTAACCATATGACCCTCCCTCTCACAAGCCTCAGATAGGCCGATCTGGCAGAGGTTTGCTCACTGCCTTTGGGGTGCCAAGGGGGGTGCCTGAGCCTGGCAAGAGCCAGTGAGGGCTGAGGGTGGGGGTGGGTCTGGGTCTGCATCCAGGCCCAGGGAGCAGGGTAGATGCCCAAAGTAGGAGGTGGAGGCTTCCCAGAGCAAGTGTGGGAATGGAGGCAGCCAAGCTTCCTACCATGAGGCTTGATGGATGGTGTCCACTGGTCTTGGCTGGGACACCTGCAGGGAATTATGAAAGGGTTAGAGGTCAGGGTGGTAGAAGCTCCCTAACACCTAAGAAAATCAAGGCGGTACTGTATTTCCTGCACAGCAGGCACATGAGTTGGGTCGAAGCAACCCTGATGCTTAAGTATGTGGCCCCTGAAGCCTTATGCATCTTTCAATGTGTTTGTGTATGATGTCAATCAGTCCACACAGGAGTGGCTGGCATGTACCACACACTCAAATAGGCAAAGGGGAGGCAGTGGTGAATGCACAATAATCCTACCTTCATGGACCAGGCTAGTGGAGGAAAGAACAAAATAACCAAAAAATCATAATCATGGTAGTGCTGATATGGGGAACTATGAAAACCTTTAACTGGAAAACTGATTTAGGCTGAGTGCAGTGGCACATGCCTATAATCCCAGTGACTCAGGAAGCTAAGACAGCAGGATTGAAAGTCTGAGGCCAGCCTCAGCAACTTAACAACGTCCTTAGCAATTTGGTGAGACCCTGATTCAAAATGAAAAATAAAAAGGACTGTGGAAGTGGCACAGTAGTAAAGTGCTCCTGGGTTAAATCCCCAGTACCAAAATAAAACAAAACAAAACAAATCATTTAGTCTAAAGGGTCACTTCTTCAGGGATCTAGGCCAAGGTGACTGTGGTGGGGAGAACACTCCCGGCAGTATGAACATCATGTGCAAAGGGCCTGAGGCAATTAAGAATAAGATTGAAGGAGCCAGTGAGGGTAGATCACAGGCAGCAGGCATGCAGCAACTGCAGGTTGAAATAGATACAAGACAGGATGATGTACTGCAGGGAAGATAGGATCAAATGCAGGAAGCATGCTCCAAGTACATAAACTCCATCCAGGGATCAGCTACGGCTAGCATCTGTCACCAGGATGGCACCAGCCCGAGAAGTTACTGATGTAGCTAACACCTCACTAAAACAGCGACCTCTGGACCTTCCTCAGGAAGTTCCGTGAGAGGTCAGAATGGGAAGTGCTTCTTAGAGGAGCTTTTGGCCAAGAAAGTGGCCCCAGGCCAATGGGACAGGGAGCACGACCCCGGCAGTAGTGACCACTGGAGGGCGATGCTCCTTTGGAGCCTGGACATTTAGGGTGCTGTTGCCAGGGCTGGAAGAGTAAGAGAAAGGAAGGCCCTGAATGGGGGTCCAGACTCGAAGACAGTCTAATCCACCCAACATCAGTGGCACCAATGTTGATGCCACTGTCACCGATTCGAAGCCCTGCAGGAGCAGAAAGTGAGAGGAAAAGACGGGACCCTAGAAGAAGTGATTATGCAGGAAAACCAGGGAGAACTCCGGAGCAGCCCAGGGCGGGAGGGAAAGCGCAGTTAGGGCTCGCCTTACTCAGGCAGGACGCCGGAGTCCGCGAGCAACCTGGGGGTAGCTGCGGGGTTCACACGCTCCACTGCCGCCTCTCGCCGACGGAGTCCAGGGCGGCCGCTGCCCGACCATGTCCTCCGCCCAGCGTTCACCGCCTCTGTAAGCAGCCCAGGCTTCCCTAAGTAGAGGCCAACCCAGCGCGCCGCACCGACTCACCCTACCGGAGGCCAGCCCAAGGCCCGTAAACGCGCGACGCCGCCAGAAACGGGCCTCACTCACGCACCCCGCCCACTTCCGGCCGTTCTGGTCCGCTCGGAGGTTCGGCCGTCTCGGTGGTTCCCAGCCCCGCCTCCCGGGTTTGGGAGGAAGGGGCGGAGCCGGAGCCCGAAGGAGAGGCAAATTGTAGCGCGGTTTAGAGTAGGCCCAAGAGCTGGGCCAGGAGCTCGAGGAATAGGCTAGGGTCTGTGGCGGGCGGGACAGGGGCCACGGGGGTGTCGCTTACCGGGAGGGCGGGACAGGAACCTGTCTGGACTGGACCGTGGGGAAGGCGTGGCTGAACCCTGGGGACGGCGGGGCCAGGAGCCTGAGAGACGCCTGGGTAAGAGGAGGGCGTGGATGAAAACGATAGTGGGCGGGGCCAGACACAGGGCGGTGGGCAGGGCCAGGAGCCGGAGGGCGGGGCCAGGAGCCGAAGAGGGCGTGGCTGGACTCCGGGCGCGAGTGGAATCGGGGCGGGGCCGGGCATCTCCGCGCGCCGTGGATCGTGGGCTCCGGGGCTCCGGCCCCAATTTCTCGCAAGCTGAGCGCACCCCGGGCGAGGAGTCGCCTCGACCGGGCGCACCTCCTGTGGTCAGTCTCGGGCGCTGGTTCTCCACGCTGGCCCTGTCAGGGCGCAGTCGGTCAGCTTTTCATTAGCAGAAAACCCCGGTCGGCACGCCGGCGCCGCGCAGACCTCTCGGTTCAGGGTGAGGCCGTCGCCAGCTCCGGGGCGTGGGCAAGACCGCTTGGGGGCAACAGGAGCCTGTTTCTTGTTGAATGCCGCCGCAGCGTCAGGGAGCGCTGGAACACGTGGTAAGCCCCCCATAAGGAAGGCGGCGTCCCCCTTGCTCTCTCGGACCGAGCCGCCAGCTCAGGCCCAGGGCGTCCTCTTGCTGAGCGGGGTCTCCCTGGCTTCACGCGAAACCCCGTCACTTGTGCTGTTGCGGGAGCGCTGAGATCCACTCTCTGCTGTCCTCTGGGTCGCCCGCACCCCCGCCACGGGTAGCTCCCAGTATCAGCCTTTCTTGGGATACTCAGGGAGTTTGAGGCACCGTCTGGCTGAACCTGCATGCCTCCCCATTCCAGGCAGTGGTGGACTCTGCTTGACCTTGGGCTGACTCCAGGCTCCCATCAGTGGATTAGGGCACTCAAACTCGCCTCACACCGACCAGTGCCCGATCCAAATCCAGATCCCTCTGGACTCAGCCCCCTGCAGGGAGTCCCGGTAAGAGAATGTTCTAGTTCCTCTCCAAGCCCCAGGAAAGCAGTGTACTCCTGCCTTGAGCCTCCAGCAGCTCTCATGCCAGACAAGGAAGCACTGCCCCAGTGCCCTGATGCCTTCACAGAACCTTAGATCCAACCAGGCACATTGGCGTCTCTGGCCTACATGACAGAGCAAGTTTCATAATTCAGGGTCCTGAACTGATGGGGCTTGGCAACCCTGTACCCCAACCTGGCTTGCTCCTGTAAGCAGGGCACACCCAGGATAACACAAGGAGTGCGAGGGGGAGCTGACACATGGGTCTATAGAGAACCTGACTTAGGATGTCCACAGGGTGGGCACCAGCCCAGTGTTCAGGTGATAGGGCACTGAGGCCCTGAAGGTTCTATTTGGAGGTGGGGAAGGGGGCTGCCTCTTACCTCTGTATCCACTGCAGGACGCTCCAGGGCCTCCACACCGCTTTTTGCTGAGCCGTGGTTCTACTGAGCTATCAGAGACCCTTGCAGGGTTACATTGTTCTCTGGGCCAGCCCGGATCACTTTCCCTTGGATCCATCTGGGCTTGGGGTTTTAGGGCCCCTGGTTCTCCCTGAGTTCTTTTTGTTTCCTGAGTGACACAGAGTGCCTTGACTTAGGATTTGGCCAGCTGTTTTCCCTGTAGGTCTGAATCCAAGTCGGGACCTTGGATGTTCCTAGGCACCCATAAAGCTGCTTAAGTTGTTCCTCAAATATACTGGGAGATAACTCTGTTCCTAAACAGGTAGGAACTAGCCCCAGACTTGAACTAAATCCCTGAAGCCCTCTTCTAAACTCCATAGCCAGACCCCCTCCTTGCAGACAAACTTTGGTAGAACCTATCTGGTCTCTAGGAAGCTGGGCCCTGTAAGTTCCCCTAGTAAGTGCTGAAGAATTAGTACTTATTAACTTGAAATCTCAACTTGGGATGGTTTAGGGCACTCCCTTGTGGGAATCCCCCTATATTGCCCTTGAGGTGTCTCCAGCCTTTGTTTCAGCAGGGTTCCAAGCTGTAAATGTTTCCAGAAACATCCCGACTAAAAAGCTATTTTCAAAGAGATGCTGTATCTCCAGGAGCACATTGGTATCCTGACAGACAAGCCAGAGCTATGCAACTTTAAACAGGCAAGGACAGATGGGGCACTATAACAAGGCTAGTACTCTCCTGGACACACTCAAGTCTCACAGTGATTAAAATGTACTAGGGCTTTTTTTTAATCAGGTGTGATAAGACACACACAGAAATGGATGTAATGAAAGAATTTGGTTTATGGACACAAGTCCCTAGAAACAAGAAGCAGGGCATGCCACACAGGGCCAACTGGGAAGGATCAGGAGTGGTCAGGGCAGAAAGGAGATGGCAGAATATGGCCCAGGGCAGAAATTTACCCCTGGTTTCTGGTTGAAGGACAGATGGTACCCAGATATCTTGTTAGAAAAAACATTTTCTATGCACAGGCACCCATAGAGTTCTGTCCATGTGTTCTACCTTGCATGGTGGGAGCAAAACCATTGTAACAGACTCAACTGCTGAAAATCCAGCAGCTCAGAGGCTGAAGCAGGTGGATTGCAAGTTCAAACCAGCCTCAGCAAGAACAAGGCACTAAGCAACTCAGTGAAACCCTGTCTCTAAATAAAATACAAAATAGGGCTGGGGATGTGGCTCAGTGGTTGAGTGCCCCTGAGTTAAATCCCTGCTACAAAAAAAAAAAAAAAAAAAAGCAAATAATGACATTTTTCATGATTAATGAAAATAATTTTTTTTAATATTTATTTTTTAGTTTTCGGTGGACACCACATCTTTGTTTGTATGTGGTGTTGAGGATCGAACCCGGGCTGCACGCATGCCAGGCGAGCGCACTACTGCTTGAGCCACATCCCCAGCCCCTAATGAAAATAATTTCAAAAGTGCCTCCCTGTCCCCAGCACTATTGATAAAGTCAGATTCAACCCCTAGGAAACTGCAGACATGTGCCATGTGAAGTCAACTATTATGATAAAACATGGAAAAGATGTCTAAAAATAAGACAGCTGTTAAATAAATCATGTTTCACACTAAAGAGCAAAGGTACACAGGGATTGTTACCCAATGAGTAGATAAAAATTCTAAGAAGAATGTAACCCCAATTCTTCAAATAAGTGTCTGTACACACTAGCATTAGAAAGACACTGAAAACACACCAAAACATCAATAGTTACTATCTCTGGAGGCGAGTGTTTTCATTTGGATGTGAGCTGTCCCCTGAAAGCTGACATGTGAGACAATGCAAGAGAGTTTGGAGGGAGAAATGATTGGGTTATAAGCCTAATCAGTGATTAACTGAAGTCACAGGGTATGGATGGAGGAGGCGGGAATTGGGACATGGCTTTAGTGTACATATTTGTATCTGGAGAGTGAGTCTCTCTGCTTCCTGGTCACATGATGTGAGCTGCTTCCCTCTGCCACACTCTCCTGCTATGATGTTCAACCTCACCTTGAGCCCTGAAAAATGGAGCTGGCCTTCAATGGGCTAAGACCTCCGAAACCATGAGCTCTCAAATAAATTTTTCCTCCTCTGTAGTTGTTCTGGTCAGATTCTTTAGTTACAGCAGCGAAAAAGCTAACTAAAACAGTGGGATAAAGGAAAGTTTCATGTATTTATTCATTTATTTATTTTAGTACTGGGGATTGAACCTGGAGGCACTAGATCACTGAGTCACATCCCCAGTCCTTTTTATTTTTATTTTGAGAAAGGGTTTTGCTGAGGCTGGCCTTTAACTTTTGATCCTCCTGGCTCAGCCTCCCCAGTTGGTGGGATTATAGGTTGTGCCACCATACTTTTTTTTTTTTTTTTTAAATGTAAAATTTGACATTTTCCAAATGTTCTACGATAACATTATGTTTGGAAAAACCATGTTAAGAGCTGTGGCTCAGTGGTAGCGCACTTGCCTAGCATGTGTGAGGCACTGGGTTCGATTCGTAAAATAAAGGACTATCAACAACTAAAAATAAATAAATAAATAAACAAACAAATAAATAAATGAATAAAAGAAAAACCATGTTAATTTATAAATACGGGTTCTCAAGCCTTCAACTTGGTTCCAGGCTAGCAGTTCTTTCTTCTAGTGGTTTTCATAGGCCAAGACAGCCTATCAGAGTTCCTGGGGTTCCTGGGATGAGTGGGCTGGTGAGGAGGGCTCCCTAGGACTTCATATGCCAGTTGGCCCTCAGGAACTTCTTCCCTGAGATTTTAGGGCTTGTGGGCAGGCTTCTCCCCAGCCAGGTCCTTCTGCAGCCACATCCAGCTTGGCATTCCTGAGGCTGGCCTGGGGCTTCACTCCCTGGTTCAGGCTAGGGGAGCTAGCAGACCCTACCTCAAGTCTTGGCTCACTCTCCTGCCCCTTGAAGCAGGGTCACATTTTGGCCAATCTTAGATGAACAGCCGGAAAAACTCAACCTATCATTTTTCTTTCTGATCAGAAGTTAATGTTTGGAAAATAAATGACTTTAAAAATAAATACTTCACCCACAATCCCCACTAGGTCTGTTGGGGATGGCTGGAGAGGCAGCCTTGCTCCACCAGCCTTCAGTCCCACAAGGTCCTGCAACTGTGCCTCACCCCCCAACCTATTCCCAAGCTGCTGAGGAGACCCTGGCCAAGTCCCTGCTGTCCTGGCGTTGTCAGCAGGGGTTCTGGGTGCTTACCCAGAGTGGGCCACCATGCCGCTGGTAATGCTTGCTCAGTGTGTAGCTCCTGCGGAATGCCTCCGTGAAGGGCTTTCTCTTCCGTATGGATCTTCTGGTGTGGGGTAAGGTTGGACTTGCAGCCGAAGGCATTGCCACACTGCCCACGTGAAGGGCCGCTCGCTGGTGTGCACCGCAGGTGCAGGATGAGCAGTGAGTGGTGTCGGTAGGTGTAGGAGACCAACCTCACACGTGACTGAGTCATTCCCCGGCTGGGTGCTGAGGCGCTCAGTCACAGAAATGTAGCAGAGCTTTCCTCACCCTTCTTGGATTCGAGGGTTGGTGTCTGGTGCATGGGTGTGTCTTGCTACAGCCCCATGGGTGAAGCTATGCTCACCGTCCCTTTGTAATATAACCCCTTGCCCTGTTTAGGGTAGAATCTTCCATGGAAGTGTCTTGTGTGTGTCCCCTTCTCTTACTGTGCCCTTGGGTGTGGCCTACCGAGGTGTCAGTCAACCTGCTGACAGTGGACATCATGAAGATAGACTCAGCCCCCTGAAACCTGACCCCTTGCCTCATTTAAATAACTTCTCAATAAAAGGGGTCAGTGTGTGCTATGGCTCTCTCTTCCTGCGTACACTTAAGGTCACAGCGACCCCAAAGAAAAAAGTATTGTGTCTCTTGTGTGGTTATTTTGTGCAGCCAAGTTAGCCCAGCTCAACTGGAGTGACCCCTGAGCCTTTTAGTCAGAAACCTGACAGGTAGGGTCTTCAGCACTCAGCACACTTCAGCTTGGCCTCTGTGGGCGTGCAAGGTGCAGGCCACTTTGCTGGGCGCCCTCCTCTACGTTCAGCCAGTGGTGTTTTAGGAGTGAGGACCCACGGACAAAGTGTTAGGTGCAGGACAGGCTGAGTAAGTTGTCTGCAGGGCATGCCAAACAAAGTTAGCTGCAGGATGACCTGGCCACTCAAACCCTCTGTCTGGTTTTTTTTTTTTTTTTGTGGAAACAGATATTTATTACAGAACATTTTAAAAAATTAAATGCCTTAAACAAAAAACAATACCATAAAGTGATAGACCTGGTAGCATGCAAATACTTCAGGTTGGAGAGGCATGTTTGCTCTTGATGAATGTACATATAATAAATTCCTATGGGCTGGAGATGTGGCTCAAGCAGTAGCGCGCTCGCCTGGCATGCGTGCGGTCCGGGTTCGATCCTCAGCACCACATACAAACAAGGATGTTGTGTCCGCCGAAAACTAGAAAATAAATATTAAAAAATTCTCTCTCTCTCTCTCTCTCCCTCCCTCTCTGTCTCTCTTTAAAAAAAAAAAAATTTAAAAATAAAAATAAAAAAAATAAATTCCTATGACATTTGACTCCAAAATGAATTTATGAATCGGCTGGACATGATTATATGACTAATAATTTAAAGTAAAATATAATCTTAAAGGCAATTTAAACACTGGCATTAATCTATAGGAGTCCATTCAAGGTCAGCCACTGGAGAGCTATATAAAAAGAACTGAGGTAAAATCTTTAGGAAGCAATGCTGTGCCTATGAACATCTGTAAGATTCAGGCTCAACTTCCGCTTCTGATGAACCTGATTTGGAAAAGGATGTATAACATCCATTATACATCTGTTTCAAACACAGTCTATTTCTAAAATTACACATCTCTTTACAAATAAATATCAAGTATTAATAGCTGAAAGATGCCACTGGGATGGGCTCCAAAGTCTGGTGTTCTCATGGCCACCCCGAGACATATTTTAAGGCATCATTTTTAATCTTGGGGCTTTAAGAACATCTTCTTTGCTTTAACTGGTTTTATGTCTCCATTTTCATCTTCTTCGTAATTGGCACGGTCTCTTTTCTTGGCAAACTTTTTTCCAATTGTCCCCACCAAGGTCTCATATCTTCTAGCCATTTCCTCATCTGACACATCAAGCTCTACTATCTCATCTTCATCTTCATTTTCTGCTTTGTTCTTAGCATTCATCTGAAGCATCAATTTCTCAACTTCAGGATTAAATCCTCTGAATGACATTCTTCCATACAGAAGATCTTCACATAACAAGAAGCTCTGCTCCTCTATTATGACACTCTCTTTCTCTTTAAGCTCTGGCAAAGCCAAGTACCAGTGCTCCTCACTGATGATCTTCTTTTCTTCTTCCTCTAGTTGTTTCTTGGTTTCCGAGTCCAGTCCCCTTTGCATGAACTTCATGCGCAGCAGGTTCTTGGACAACTTGGTCTTGCGCTCGGCCGCCATGCTGGCTCCAGCCCCTGTCTGGTTCTTTATCACCTGTTTGCTTCAAGCCCAAACGCCCAAGCCCCCTCTCAAGGCTGAGCACTTCGCCCCCCTGCTCAAAGCTGAACACTCAACCCCCTGCTCAAGGCCGAGCACTTAACCCCCTTGTGTGCCAACAAGGCAGCTTGCAGACCCAGAGACCCCATTAGGTTTGGGCTATAAAAACTCCCTCCTGCCGGGCCCCTCTCTCTCCTCTCTTGCTCTGTCTCCTTTGCACGTGTGCGCTCTCTCTCTCTCTCTCTCTCTCTCTCTCTCTCTCTCTCTCTCTCTTTCTCTTCCTCTCTCTTCTCTGTTGCACTGCTGCAATAAAGATCTCTTGGTTGCTCTGAGTGTTGTGGTCACTTTTCTTTCACAAAGCACTGGCCACAGCTTGGGCACTCATAGGGCCACTCGCCCCTATGGATGTGGCGGTGCTCACTGAGGGTGAAGTGGCAGCAGAAGGCCTTCTTCCAGTGTGGAACTTCTGGTGCTACCACACTGGAAGGACTGGTCCCTCTCGCACACACGGCAGTGGGCCTCCAGCTGCGCGCTCTGTAGAAGGACTTCCTGCACTCGCTGCACTGGAAACGCTTCTCCTCCATGTGGATCTGCTGGTGGCGCAGCAGGATGGAGCTCTGCTTGAAGGCCTTGCCACACTCGCGCTCCCTGCACTGGTACAGCCTCCCCCACCCCCCAGCAGCGAGTTGTATCTGAACACCTTGCCGCAGGCGCACCTGTAGCCTCCCTGCATCCTGGCAGGGCTCCTGGAAGGCCTGCCAACATGCACTTCCTGCAGGGACCCTGGGGAGGCCCACAGCAGGATGGATGTATCCGACCCATCCTCAGGCCTGCTACTCAGATCGGGGAGGCAGCTCCAAATCCAACTGGTCACTCCTGCCTGCTTGAAGAAGTCCCTCCTCAGAGGAGATGATAAGATTCCAGCCTTCATCTTCGAATCTGAAAAAATTAACAGAAAATGTGAGGCAGAGCTAACCTCCACTTACAAAAGGAACTTTTTTTTTTTTCTTTTGGCACTGGTGATTGAACCCAGGGCTGCGTAACCACTGAACCATATCCCCAGCCTGCCTGCTTTCTTTCATTTGAGTATCTACATTTCTTCGGGTCTCTCTAAATTGCTTCAATCCTCCTACCTCAGCCTCCAAAGTTACTGGGATTATAGACATGAGCCACTACAACCTGTTTCCTGACCCTTTTTGACACAAGGTCTCACTATGTTGCTTAGGGTCTCACTAAATTGCTGAGACTCTTCTCAAACTTGTGATTCTCCTGTCTCAGCTCCTGAGTCTCTGGGATTATAGATGTGTGCTGTTAGGTTGGTGGCGGCGACTTAGTGGCAACTTAGAACAAAGCAGCCCACGTGGGAAAAGAACATCAATCAGATGCCAGCGGAAATGCCTATCAACAGCCAGATCTCCTGACTAATACCTGTCAATCAGCAGGACCCCCTGGCCAATCCTGGAGTTCAGCCAACTCCCCTGACCAACTCCAAAGGGTCAAGGGACCCTAAAAACACCTTTTCCTGTCCCAAGCCCTTCCCTTCCTGCTGTAAACCCCATAAAAGTCAAGTTAGCCCAGCTCAACTGGAGTGACCCGTGAGCCTTTTAGTCAGAAACCTGACAGGTAGGGTCTTCAGCACTCAGCACACTTCAGCTTGCCCTCTGCCAGGGGCTTCACTTTCTTTTATCAGGGTGAGGGGAAGTAACTTGTTTGAGGCCACCCTGGAGGGATCTGTGGATGTGCCTGGTGAAACTGCAGGTCTTTTAAAATGAAGTTTTTTAGAAAGTGGAGTTGCTTAGGCTCAGGCCTAAGGCCATCCTAACGCCCCTGAAACCTGACCCCTTGCTTCATTTGAATGGCTTCTCCTCCATAAAAGGGTTCAGCATGTGCATGCTTTCTCTCTCTTTCTGGAAACCCTTAGGTCAGAGGAGCTGTCACAGGACCCAAAGAAAAATGTATCTCTGTCTTTTGTGTGATTATTTCATGCAGCCTAGTTCATCTGGAGTGACCCTGAGTGTTTTAGTCGTGAGAAACGTGACAGCATTCTATCAAATAATTCTTGGGATTGTTACCAGCATGGTGGGAACAAGACTCTATATTGGTGGTGGTGATAGGGGTTCTGCTGGAGCCAGAGGAGGCAGGGCTAGCTAAGAATGAACAGAGGTGCTCAGCTTTTATATCATCCCTGGGGTCAGCAGAGTCCAGTCTCTTGATGTAACCACAGATAGAGATGGTTTAGTTGCACCTGAGCTCTTCATCAGCTTCTTCATGCCCCACATGACTGCTTACTATCCTCAGTCTCCACTTAGGGGTGTGCACTTTAGAGTGCTCATAAGGTAACAGTAACTGCAAGTCTTTAGTGACTCTTCTCTGTGTGTGGTTGCCCACCACCATCCGGAGCTGTTCCTTACTGTTTGGGAAAATGCCTGATATTATTTTTCATAACAGGGCATATTACTGCCCTCAGTGGGTTTGATTTTACTAACCTTGTCCTCTCTGATTTTTTTTTTTTTTTTTTTTTTTGGTCATCTCTGTTGACCATATAACCTCAGACGACTTTTGATTTAACTTCTGGTCTCCTGCTGTGTTGTCTTAATTACATAGCCTTGAAGAATTGTGTGTGTATGTGTGCTGGGTGTGAGAATAGACAGTGTGATAATCCATTTTCAGGATATAGTTATTTAGCTTTAATTGGGATGTAAAGATCCAATTGTAGCTATTTTTAACTATAACACTTCCCTTTGGGCTGGGGTTGTGGCTTAGAGGTAGATTGCTCACCTAGCATGTGTGAGGGCACTGGGTTTGATCCTCAACTCTGCATAAAAATAAACATATTGTATCCACCTATAATTAAAAAAAAAAAAAAAACTTCCCTCTGCTTGCCTCAATTTTAAAATTAGCTAATCATGTAGATTGTAACCTGGAGCTCCTTCTATTTAAGCAAGGGGGGAGAGCTGTCAGGGATAGAAACAGGCAGACTGCCCTTCTAAGTGTGCTTGCTATCCAGGTTCAGAAGCTCGCCCTTCTGGCAAAAGTAAAGGTTCTTTGCCCACCCACTTACATGTTTGATTTCTTTTGGTGTGGGGAGCCACTCTGAGTGATTCATGCCTTCCATTCTGGAGTGGAAAGGCTTTGACCGTAACTACATCTCTCAGTGACCTGAACATTGTCCCAGTCCAGGAAGTTTGAGGGCACATCTTCAGAAGTAAGCATGTCTCCCATGGCCCCTTGGGTTAAATTACACTCACCTGTCCTTTGTAACCCTGCCCCTTCTGATCTTTTTTGAATGGAACTTTCTAAGAATAAGGGTCCCCCCAATAAAAGCCCACTTCCAAACTCTCTCTCTCTCTCTCTCTCTCTCTCTCTCTCTTCAACCTCTCTTGACTTTCTTTTGCTCTCCCATTTGGGGAGCCTGAGGCAGAGAATGAAGAAGCTGTCCTGAAGCTTGTTTAAAGGTGAAGTGTGTCTGTGTTTTTTTGGTGTCCCTGGAAATTCACACGAGCAACGTTAAGTTCAGCTGCTTGCGCGGGTTGGGGGCAACACTTTAACGCCTCAGTATTTCTAATATGTGGATTGAACCTCAGGGTACAGGCCTGTAATCCTAGAGACTCAGGAGGCTGAGGCAGAGAATTGCAAGTTAAAAGCTGGGCTCAGCAACTAAGGGAGGCCCTGTCTCAAAAAAATAAAAAGGGCTAGGGATGTGGCTCAGTGGTTCAGCATCCGTGTTCAATTCCCAGTACAAAAAATCAAAACAACCAGTACTGCAGGTAGCTTCACATGAAGCACAGCAGGATAAATTTTCACAGATCAACAAATAGATTCTTAGGAAGTGTTCCTGCTGCTGCCTCTGGTCACTAAGGTATCTATGGAGAAGGGCCACAGTGGAACTTCTAAGATCTCTGGTGATACATGCCCCCCAGCACTTCCTGAGGATTTGAAAACCAGGCCTCATGCATGCTAGACAACTGCTCTACCACTGAGCTACCTCTCTAGTCCTTTTTATTTTTCATCTTAAGACAAGTGCTCACTAAGTTTCCCAGGCTGGCCTTGAACTTGCAATTGACTTGTCTCAACCTCCTGAGTAGCTGGGATTACTAGCATATATCACTGTACCTAGAAATCCTGGTGATTTGTGTAGACACACTTCTATGTGTTTCATGTGTATTTTTTCATTTAATACTTAAAATATCCTATGGAAAAAATACTGTTGTCCCCATATTAAAGTGAGGGAGCATAAAATTCCTATTATTTCACAAGGTTGCACCTTTATTGTGTTGCAGAATTGGATTCAACCCAGGACACATTCTTTAACCACTCAACTGGAAAGTGAAACCATTATGTTGAGCAGGGGAGGGAAGAAGAATCAAATAAATGAGTGTGCTGAAGAGCTTCATATCCCACACAGCACTCTGCAGAAGATTTTGCTTTCAAATCTTCTGAACTGTGACCTGACCCTGTTAGAGTCTGTAAACAAGTCAAAATAACACCTGGCATTTAGCCAGGGGAATGTTAGAGTTCGTAAACAAGTCTGGATGGTGCCTGGCAAAATGCCAGAGGGAGTGGTTTCAGAAGTAACAAAAGCGAGCCATTAAGTGTGGAGATTTCTTATTGGTTCAGTGCTGTATCTAGTTTATGCTAATTAGATAAGCTGTGTGGAATGTATAAATACTGCTCCTGTCCTGCAATAAACGGCTCCTACTCCTGCTGTATCAACGTACACAAGTTATTCGTCACCCCTCGGTTATTTTGCTGCAGCCGGACTCCGGCATGACCCAGGAGGAGGTCTGAGACTCATAGAAGGGAGCAGTGATCTGCTACTGATATTGGTCAACTCTGATGACATTCCAATCAGCCTTTACCTTTGAACTGGATGTTTAGATGCCTCTAGTTCTCTCAGACTAATAATGGGTGGGATGTCTAGTTGGGATCCACCTTCTTGGCATCCTGAACAAAGAATTGAGCAAGACACAGAGAAGTAACAGGTGGAGCATAGATTTACTGAAAATAAAAGTGAAAGTATCAATACGTAGAAGACAGTCACTCAAGGCCCTACATCTGGTGGAGTGTTGTCTTATGTGCAGCGCTATACCTCCTTCCCCTCTCCCTACTAAAGACCTTGCTTCATTTG